GTTAGGCCGAAAGCTCTGGCTTAGAGAAATCCACAGGCTCCTTGGAGACACCAGATGCTGGGATTAGGGTGGCAAAGCCAATTTCATGCCCCTGAGCCTCAGCTGTTAATGCAGTATCAGGCCTATTTCCAATTCACTCATGAATCGAGTGAGATTGAGCCTGCAAACCAGAAGTCTCCAATCCTTGGAGCTAAGTGGTGCTTAGAGAAAAAAGGTATGGGGCTGCCAAATATTTTGTGCCTATCAGATGCTTGGCACCATGCTGGGTGCTTAATACACACTACTTATATATGATTAAAGAAGTTTGCTCAGGGAAGATAGGAAAATGTGTTAGATGTCATCCTTTGAAGAATTACTAAACTAGTGGGAAAGGCAAACATGGACATAAATAACTACAAGTTCTAATAGTCACCTAGATGACTATGAAGAAATGGAATGAATGTGAATGGAGGAGAAATATTAAAGCAAAATTATCTATGGCCTTCATACACTTTACTAAGAATACTAGCCATTCAAATCAGCAATTGGCAAGAAGAACAACAATTGAATAGTATCAAGAGGAGGATTATTGCTATCAAAGTTTGCATTAAAGTGGGGGGAAACACTCTTGCAGGAAATGCAAACATTAACCTTGTGATTATAATAAAAGGAAGCCCCCCCCCGTCCCCATCCCAAATTCTCTTCCTCATAGAAAATATGAAATCACCTTTTTCTTCCATGAGAACAACCAAACTGGTGAGGCGCTATTTGGGATGATCCCTGTCCCCACCATGTAACCTCATTTTTGGTTTCTTATTGCCTTTTAAATTGCCTTGTCAAATCTCTTTGCAGGTGCAGACCAATTTATCCCCTTTATTCAGGAGTTTATAAAAAGTGCCGTGCAAAATAAAACTTCCATACATGTGGAACAAAGGGAAATAAAAGTCCAAATGAATACAAAGATGTTTCCTAACTTGAGCCTGGGAGTGGGAGCACCAGTAAGGATAGGGTTGAACGTGATTGTCATACTGAGTGAAGTCAGCAGGGCCCAATGACACACATCATGACCGCTGAAGCCACACATTTAGTAAAGCAATGAAACTGACTTTTATCACTAGGGTGGCTGCTTACCTGACAAAATCATCCCATCCCTCAATTACACCAAAAAAGTCTTTTTTTCTGTCTACTTTTGGGCCATGTTGATAGATAGATTCAGGCCCAAAACATTAAGGTAACAATAATTTAAGGGGCATTTCATGGCCTAGCATTCAAATATTTCTCTCACTGATGCCTGAAAATTCACTTGTGATGTTTGCCTTCATTTAGTCAGTTTAGGTTGTACAACATTGCCAGTCCTGGAATGGAATTCTTATTTTTTCTTAGGTACTATGTTTGCAATTAAACTATCACATGGGTCTTATGTAATGAACCATTTCGTCAACTGCTAGGCAGTTCAAAATGTCTAATATGAGGATATTAGACAACTGAGTCAAAAGAGAATACTGTAGGACACGATTTCCTTCCTTTTAAGAGGAAAGCATAAGTAGGGATGTTGTTTGTTGTATTAGTCATAGATCTGTAGAGAAAGAGAATAGCTATATTTATATCTATCTACTTACATATATATAGATATATGTGTGTGTGTGTGTATGTGTATATACATATATATATATACACACATAGAGAGAGAGAGGGAGAGAGAGAGAGAGACTGATTTATTCTAAGGAATTCAAATGGCTCATGAGAGTGTGGATGCTGGCAAGTTCAAAATCTGTAGGGCAAGCCAACAGGTTGGAAATCCAGGCAAGAGTGCATATTGTAGTCTTGAGACCGAAATCTGCAAGCCAAGCCAGACAGGCTGGAAATTCAGGCAGAATTTCTATGTTGCAGTTTTAAGGTCAAATTTCTTCCTTGGAAAACCTGTCTAGGCTCTTAAGATCTTCAACTGATTGGATGAGGCCCACCCACATTATGAAGGATGATCTGCTTTTCTCCAAGTCTACTGACTTAAATATTAATCACATCTGTAAGATAACTTCACAGCAACATTTAGGCTGGTGTTTGACCAAACAACTGGGCACCACAGCCTACTTAAGTTGACTCACAAAATTAACCATCACAGCTGTATCCATGTGGCATGTGGAACTAAAAACATCTCTCAATAATTTTATTAAGCATTGCTTAATCTAGCCCTGGTTTTTACCTCCAGGCTTGAGTAGATCACACATTTCAGACTCACCCTGAGCAGTCTGGGGAAGCTACATAATGCCACTAGCCCTGGGGCAAGTGTCTGGCTCACCACTTCCACCAGGTACAGAGAAAGGGGCTAATCACCACAGCCTCTTCACACAGATCTTTTGTGAGGTATTAGCCCCTCCGTCGTTTGGGTTCATTCATCTATTTTTAATAAAATTCTGTCAGCTCACATTTTAATCACGAACTATTGTAAGCTCTTCATAAATATTTTCATTAATCCTTCTAACCAGTGAGATTGGTACTATTATGATCTCCACTTTTTTCACCAATTTAAGAAACTTGAAATTCAAGATCACAGGGTCAGCCCATGGCTCTCTCTTTTACTTGTGTATCTATTTATTTATATTTAAAATTTTTTTTTAATTTCAGCATATTACAGGGATACAAATGTTTAGGTTACATGTAATATTGCCTTTGCCCCTCCTGAGTCAGAGCTTCAAGCATGTCCGTCCCCCAGATGGTGCACACCACACCCATTAAGTATGAATACACCCATCCCCTCCTCCCCGATCCCATCTGCCTGATACCCAAGGAATGTTACTACTATATGTGCACATAAGTGTTGATCATTTAATACCAGTGGTGAGTACATGTGGCGCTTGTTTTTCCCTTCTTGTGATACTTCACTTGGTAGAATGGGTTCCAGCTCTATCCGCTTTAATAGAAGAGGTGTTAGATCACCATTGTTTTTTGTGGCTGGCTGAGTAGTACTCCATAGTATACATATACCACATTTTCTTAATCCACTCATGTATTGATGGGCACTTGGGTTGTTTCCACATCTTTGCAATTGTGAATTGTGCTGCTATAAACATTCTAGTGCAGATGTCTTTGGCTCTTAACTTTTCTCTTATTATTCTTTTTTTTTTTGAGACAGAGTCTCACTTTGTTGCCAAGGCTAGAGTGAGTGCCATGGCATCAGCCTAGCTCACAGCAACCTCAAACTCCTGGGCTCAAGCAATCCTGCTGCCTCAGCCTCCCAAGAAGCTGGGACTACAGGCATGCGCCACCATGCCCGGCTAATTTTTTCTACATATATTAGTTGGCCCATTAATTTCTTTCTATTTATAGTAGAGACGGTGTCTCACTCTTGTTCAGCTTGGTTTCAAACTCCTGACCTCGAGCAATCCGCCCGCCTTGGCCTCCCAGAGTGCTAGGATTACAGGTGTGAGCCACCACGCCCGCCTTTTCTCTTAATTATTACACTACTGCATGTGAAGAAAGCTATTTTGTGACACACACCATGGCTTGAAAGAAGCCAGAGATTAAAGTATGCACCACCTCTGCTTATCATTATTATGAATGAATCTTTGATGAGAAATGGTTAGTCGATTATGTAACTACCTTTAAAACAAATGCAGTTTGATAGCCTTTTAAATTGAATCAGATCACCTTTAAAAATTGGTATATTGCATTTGGAATACAAACAACATGAATCTTATTTTCCCTCCTATAAAATTTTCAAACCCCTACTGGCCTAGTGACAAAGACCTTTAGAGAGAATGACCATGAGTTTCAGTCAACACTGTCCCTGTTATATATAGACACAGCCAGACAACAACCCAGGATTATTCTATTCTACATGGACATAAAAGTCTGGTCTTGGCTGTGGTTGTTTGGTTACAAGAATACAACCCTGCAAGTTGTCACCATTATACATAAAATCAGGCACATTTCACTTAAAAATAAATTATCATGGTGTAAGGCACATATGATATGTCATGGTTATGTGGAATCAGATTCTTGATTTGAAAAATATGCTTAAGATCACATTGAATTAGCTTTAGCAGGCAATAATTATAAAATTTGGAATCCTTTTTTGCTTCTTACTAAATCGATGCAGAAAAGACACTTTCTACCCTGAAGGAGACTGCTGTCTCATCTAATAAATCATATAAGCTCCAGTAAATGTATGTCATCACCCTCAGGAATGACAGTTCTCTCTTTGTCACGCTTGTGGGAGTTGAGCATTGACACGGTAAGAGAACTTGACTAATAACCTTTGCCGGACCTTCCAAACTGCACATAACTCCTTGAGAAATCTTGATAAAGGCCAGTATTTTCACAGCTTGACAGGGTCTGGAAAAGAGGGTCAAAGTACTGTGACACTTTTAAGTTCAGTGTACTGTAGTAGCTCCTTGAAAAACTTTTAGGTTTTCCTGTACTTGCAAGCATGTGGACAAATAATAAGAAAATGAATACAAAATATGACCCTCACATATATCTGCACTTGGCTTTATTTTCTCTTAGTGCTTTTAAGGGCAAATTTATACAATGCCTAGTTTGGCTAAAAGGGGGCACATCATTGATGTTCTGTAAGGTTTGGCTGAATGCCTTTCACTTGATAAAGTTTCTTTTATTCTAAAGCTGGTGAGCCACATAAGGGTGTATGTTTTACCCGTGAGGTCAATCCATGATGTCAGTGGATGGGAAGAGGTAATATCCGCCCCCCACCCCTCTTCTTCGCAAAACTCAAAAGACAACGCCAAGTTTTACTAAATTCATGACCAGTGGAAAGGACAATTTTTAAATGCACCCTTTATTCCTTTATCCAAATATTTGAAAATAAGCCATATTTAAACTCTATCCAGGTTTACGGTTTATAGTCTCTGTGGTGTGCTCAATCCCTTCTCAATGTCATTTGGGTTTAGAAAGACTCCACTACATTTGTATCTCCTGACCAGACGCCTTGGGACGTCATAAAAATGCTAATTAGGCAGTATTATTTCAAGCATCCGACAATGCCGATTTCATGAAACTACACAAACAGGATTCTTTCCAGTTGTTTTATTGATGACAGAAACTGTGCATAATTACAGATTTGGTGAGGAACCTGAAAACAATAAAGAATGTGTCTATTGCCAGCAAAATACAATTATTCCAGGTACTTTTGACATACAAACATAATAGTTCTTCACACCAGATGGCTCTTGCGTGACAAAGCCGTTTTAGAATGTTTAATTGTGCTTCTACAAAAACCTTCACGGAATGAGGTAGTTTCCTTTACCTACTGTATTTTCCACATTTCCATTATGATACTTTTAGTGAGCTGAAATCTTTTTAACATAACCTTTAAATAATCTTTCGTGAAACCAAAGCCTCATTTACAAAGCGTTTATTTCTTTCTACTCAATTTTTCTTAAAAGGGAATTTCAAGAGTCACTACACAACTGGAGACATTTAAGATTTGCAATGGCCCGGGATTATCGTCACATTACTAATTGCAATCAGAGTCAGGTACAAGAGAACAGGTTCCAAAAATTTCATAGTTAAGCTGATATTCAGTTCCTACCTTTAAGCTCTAATTTAAAAATGACTTCCTCAAGCTATCTTCCCTCAGCCACCATTACCAAGTAGACACAAATTCTTAGAAACAAGGAACAGTGAGTCAGGCTTCAGCTCCATGTATTAATATTAGCCAACAGGGTGTGTATTGTGGGATTATTCATTGTTAAGTTACCGGGAAAACCTCTACAGAATTTATAGATGCATGCAGATTAGCAAGCTTACTTTCAAGACCTGATTCAAAACCTGCTGACAGCCATACTCTTGAGAGAATTCCTGCACTCTTCCAAAACTTATCAGTGAAGTTCAAATTGAGGCAGATATTTGCATTCCTTTCATAACCCTGAGAATGACTTTAATAATCATGTAAAACTAGTTCAAGGAAATTGCAGTGTGTTGTTGCACATTTTGGATAAAAACTAATATTTGACCAATTTCTAAATTGTGATAGTGAATGTATAATCTGTCAGTGAAACTATTAATATATTTTAATTCATTCCTATACCACAGTTTACAATTCTTTCCATCCCAACAGTAGGTTTCATATATTGAACATTATGGAACTGAAGTTCTAGGTCTTGTTAATTGGGTCTATTGTAGTATGAAAAATACACTTTCAGACAAAATAAGATGACTTAAAACTTCAGTACCTGTATCCAGCATATTTTAAAGAGCACCTCAATTTCTAAGACCAAATTTTATGCCTTTATCATTTATTAAAGCAATTGTGTTTACATACATCTGATGCCAGGGAATTATTTACAAACAAATACTACTATACTCTGTTTATATGTTTCATTACCTCCCAAAAGCTGACAAGTCTTTTATTATGGTAAACATTCTGAAGATGAACAATAAACCACTTCTACCTTTAAACAGGCTTTTTGGCGATGACAAAAATTAATATCTTTGCAATAGTTTAAATGGTCTTTCTTATTTAAAACCTCAAACTGTGAAAAATCATGGATATATGAAAGCTATTTTCTGGGTAGCTGGATTCATCACCTTCAAGTTAACAGTTTAAACAGCTTGATTCATAATAGACATTTTCTAGAAAAATTCACTCTGGGATCATTTTCTTTGTTTACTTCAATATAATCCAGCTTTGAATTGAAGAAAATCAGCAAGGATGCTGTAATCTGTGGTTTTAGTTTTGCTTCAAAAAATATGCAGTCAACGAATGCACTAAGTTGGTAGAAAACAGTAAATAAGGAGGAGGTAATTCACACCAGATAGGAAGTGGCTGAGTAAGCCTAAATACTAACCTTACTACTTACTTCTGCACTACGAGAAAAGAATTAAAGGATAAGTTTCCTTTAAAAATGACATGAAATGTTCATTGTGATTTCTTGATAAGAGATGTGTGCTGGCTTTCACCTCCTTATTATCTAACTATTAAAGATTGCTATTATAGTTAAAATCAGTTCAAGAAATAGAATATGAACTCCATAAGGGTAATGTCTATAGCCATTTATTTTCTAAAACTAACTTCCTAATCGCTATTGCTGGTTGGGCTAAATACACATTTGTGGGTGCTCAGCCAACATTTATCAAATTAACTATAATCTTCATCTCCCTGGTCTTTGTCAATAGGTGATACTTACAGATGAAAAACAGAGAGCTGAACAAATTCTACTTGAGGCACAACAAAATGACAGTTATTATAAAATGTCCACTAAACCTACAGGATGGTATTACTATTTTTACCTAAAGTTTCTGCACATCCACATAACAAATCCACTTTACAAGGAAGAGTCATCTTTGATCATATTTAGAATCAGGACATGAAATAAGGGGTTTCTCTAACCCTTATTGCATCCAATGAATATTTATTGCTTTAAATGTTTTAAGAACTATCGCTCATTGAAAGTGAACAAGTATTGTTACTTTGTGCTTAAAATACATTCTTTCCAATCATAACCACAGACCAAAAATACAATGTGAAAAAAATGAAACAGAATGCAGTGATTGAGCACTGAATGTGACTGGGGAAAATGTTTACTTTGGCATCTGTTTTCATAGCACAATTCCCCAAAAGCAGAACTGAAACTGAAGCTTTAACAAAATGTTCCTCAAATTCTTTTGGCTGAGATAGACTCATTCATTACCTTCAAGTGCCTGAGGATTTGGGGCAAACAAGACTACTGGTTTAGGTATAATTTTATCATGCAACAAAACCAATATCGTGAGGAATTTTAACACAGGGTGTGTAATGTATGTTTCCCATGTCTGCAGGATTGCTGACATCACATATTACCATATAGCTGATGTTACTCTGTGCTTTCTTGGGGCTGCCTGCCTCTTCATTTTTTTCCCCTCCTTACAGCAATCTTTTGAGAAAAGAATAGAGAGGGTTTACCAGGTAGAAGACTAACAAGGTTTCTCAGTCACTTCTTTAACTTTCCCTTTTCCTTTGTGCTTCTGAAAGCAAAGGCTAAAGCATGTGTTCTAAACTTACTCATCCCTGTACCAGAGAGCGTGGGACACATCCCTGAAGTTGACTCTTCTACTGGTGTGTCATGAGTTGAATCCTTAATAAATAACCACAACGAAGAAAATTTCTAATAGCAAATCTCTTTTAGGAAATGCTCAACTTTTGTCCATATCTTGACCCTTCATTTTAAAAATCTCGGTTTCTACTGATGTGTTTTGGGAAAAAGCTGACAAACTTGGTCTGAAATGTAAAAACTGGAAAAGTGGAAGAGAACATGCAGAATAAGTTAATCATTATCATTTTAAATGCCACCAGTTCTGTTTATATTCATGCACATGTGAATTGCTGAATCTCATTTGATCAACCCAATTAAACATTAAATAATTGCAGCCAATTATGCAAATATCAGCAACAATATTAATTTGTTGATCTTTTTGAGCAGATTAGCTTCACATGTTCCTAATGCTACACTATCTTATGCCTTAAATGATCAATTAGCATGACGATAACTAAGTCTTGAAGAATGGATAATTGCCTAGTTATAATGTGGCACTCTTGCTGTATTAATCCACTGCAATTAAACAAACAGTGCACAAGGAAAAAAAGATGTGCAGATGTTCCTTTTAAATCTATTTAACAAGTCAGTGTCAAGGTCAATTTCCTGTCTTATTACTTAAATGAGAATGGCAGATTGTGTTCTCTGTATTAGAAGATCTTCAGTTTTTAAAAATGTATCTATACCCTTAGTCTTCACTAGGTCTGGTACAATGAGCTTAAAATGCTCGTAAGGTTTTATAAAAGAAATTGTGCAAATATGTTTTCTAACTTTCACAATGGGCATGACTTGCCATACTACATTTAGAGATGCAAAGTATAAAATATATTTATGGCAAATAAATAATTTCTATTTCATAGGAATCAAAGTCTAGTTATTATTTACTTGACAGTTAAAAATTACCTGCAAGTCTTTTCTAGACTATTATGTTAAGAATGAAGTCAAAGGATTTAGCTAAGGCAAAAGCATACCCTTAGCATACTACTTGGCGAACGTGTGCAGGCGACAGTCAAAAGCACCTAAGGCCTGAGAACAGACTCTCCCAAGATTTCAGATCACCAATTAAAAGCCCCCTAAAAGATATTTTTACCATTCCTTTTCATCTTATACTTCTCTAATTTTCATTTTATTATTTCTATCTATAAAAGACCCTATGGCTAAAAGTTTTGAAGAAGAATCAAAGCCCATTTGCTATGTGTTGCTAAATGCCTTAAGGAAATTTTTCCAGTGCATCAAACTTTTACAATGTTTTTATTCCCCTTGCTCTGCAAAGAGAATAAAATATGATCAGCAAGATGAAAGTTATTAGGACCAAGGGAAACCAAAACACAATGTCTGAGAGTTAACCTTCCAAGGATAAATGTTATCTATCAAGATTTGACTTTCCCCCAGATAAACCAAGGATACAATTTTAACTCACAGCTCCTAAATAAGGAAAATATCCACTATAATTGCTCTCCCTTTACCCTATCCACATGCTCTTCCAATCCCCCAGTCAAAAGAAAAGAGCACCTACAAAAAAGAGTCTCAGAACCAGAGTATATATTATATATCCTCTTTGCTTCCTATCCCTGCCCCCTCCCCAAAAAGATGATTTCTTTTGCATTTAACACTTAACATATAATATCTGTCATTTCCATTTGGTTGGTATGATATCATGACCTCGCTCTAGAGCCATATCTTCAATTCCAAGACAATGTTCAAATATGAAATGATTCCTCCAACTAACTATACCTCTAATATCTCTAATGACTTAGTAGCCTATGGAAAATACAGTATGAGGTAAATATATACCATATCAGAATCAATCACCAATTCGAATAAAGAGGTTTCATAATATAGAAACAAAGAAAGTACACTTCTATAGAAGCTAAATGTTCATCATTCATTACATAGAACATTTACTGAGTGCCTACTATGTGCCTGGCATTGGGGTTTTGTACAAAGATCCATAAGGCGCAAGACCCCAGTCTTGTAGCCTGATGAACAGCCAAGGACAACACAAGGTGGAAAGGGCAGCGGCAAAAAACGTCCTCAGGTCTTGCTGAAGCACAAGGTGAGCTTGAGCAGGATGCGTGACATCAGGAAGAAGGGAGATACTCATCTTAGGATGGGCATAGGGGGCCTGTAAAACACTATGATGGGAGGAAATCTAGTTTTTCAAAGTACTGATTTAAAAAAAAAAAAACATTCTCTGAGGATAAAGATGTGCTACAGGAAATGTCACCTGTGAAATGTACTCAAATCAGCTTTCAAACACAAAACAATCACATTTGGTTGAGTAGTAGAACATGGCTCATACTAAAGAACAAACAAACACTTTAACATCTGAGTGAACTCTAGGGGAGGCAGTAAAAGCACTGAGAAAATCCTATGTTATATGGCTTACGTTAGTATTTTTCTAGGAAAGGTAAAAGACTAGTGAGTCTACAAAACACCGTTTGATGATTGCAAGTCATTTTCTCTGGCATGAGGAAACAATCACCCTTGTAACACACTGATAATACAGACTACATTATGCACAACTTCTAACAGGTAGTCAAAGAAATCCACCACCATTCAAATGCAACAGTCTGCCCAAACAGCACACAGTTGGAATCCCGTATTTCTCATTCAGGATAATACGATTGTCCAGTCGCTTTCTTCTCTTCCATACTACAACAAAAGCAAGGAAACATGTTTCAATATAAAAGGTAACAGTGCAGGTATTGCTTACAAATAAACTTAATAATGCCACCGAGGTTATACAAAAGGTTCACTTCTGTTTTGAACATAAAAAAATACCTGAAAAGAATCATGAATTTTATAAGTATCACTGAACTCAAATTCATAGCTGGTGTAGGTCCTTTATATACTTGGGGGCATGCTTTTTCATTACATTTCTCTTCTGCACTTCTGCTCTCCAAATGAAGTAGCCGGGTTAAATTATTTAACTATTGCTATTTTTGCTCTAAACAAGTGATACTCAAAGTGTATCCATCGGCATCACCTGGCAACAAACTGGAAATGCAAATTCCCAGGCAAATTCTCAGACTGAATCAGAAACTCTGGGGATGGGTTCCAGCAACCCACACTCCGGCAAGCACTTCCAGTGATTCCGATGTGCACTAAAGAGCGTTTTATGTTCCCGGACAAAAATATGAAATTGACAAGCCCCATGGATATTAACAGAGACTTTGTTCTCTAAATCAAAGTTGTTTGTGCTAGATTAGCATCCCAATTTTTCTTATTCCTTCAAAGGTTATGTAACCGTATCATAATCAGAATTTGATTGTTTGTATTAGCAAATAACTTGCTTTGAAAGCAAACCTGAATCTTAATACTTAAAATGAGATTAAAAGATATTCCATACATCAGAAAGAGAAAGTTAGCTCTGTATTCATTCATTTAATCAGTAAGTCAATCTTTCAACACTGTACATCATGTTTAAATAAGCTCTCAAGCCCTTTGAGCAATTACTGCATGCTCAAGCCTTTGTGCCAACAGTTTATGGGTTTATCACCTCACTTAATCCTCATAGTAATCCTCACCTCACTGAATCCTCATAGATGGCAGGTGCAGTCCCATCTAGTGGGTAAGAAAACTGAGTATCGGGGAAATCAAATAGCTTGCTCAAGGTTGCAGTTAGCGTATGGAAGAGCCCAGATCCTAGCCCAGGTCTCTCCCCCATTAAATTCCACATTTTGGGCCACGCCCAAGGCTGCCCTCCACGTGTCCACAGAGCCATGCGTGGAGACTGACGTGAACACATCTTCCCAACCTGGTTTATCAGGCCATTCAACGTGTCACTCTGTGTTTGCCAGAATCACTCAGACTAGGTCCATGTTCACATCAGCTGGCTCTTTTAGACCTGATGTAACTTTAGTTTAAATTAATATGAAACATCAGAATTTCTGAGTTAAAATGAACTGTAATGACCATCTAAAATGTACGGGATGAGACCCAAAGGCATGGGGCTCTGGATTCTACTTCTTTACTTCAGAACAATTCTACTTTTATCCATTTTGTATACTGGGATTCTAGGAAAGATTTCTTTTGAAGAAAGTTCTGCTGCTAAAAAAATCAAGTGTAAAGAGCAATGAATTTTAATGCCAGCTTCTTGTTTTACATATAAGGATACTAAGGCTCTGGGTTACTCTTTAATATTATTTCTCGTATATCACGCTGTATATATGCCCTGCCCCTCTGAAAGACCTGACAGCAGAATCTTTCCAATTGGTAAAAATGCTAGGAGCCAAGAATGGGTCTACCTACCACCTTGTGGTTTCCATGAAAAAAGGATAATGAAGGGAACCAAGTGACTATACGTGACTTGCTTAATCCACATCAGAAAGAGTTGCCACATCAGAAAGAGTACAGCCTTTCACTATTAACTCAGTTATGCCATGATAAATGCTGGATGAAACATTTTCAAATTCTACCTGCTTTATATAGGGTGTCAACGTGACTTAAGGTATTAGCAAAGCATGTATTTTATTTCCCTTACTTGGATTCCCATTAATATACGAGACACTTTTGCCATTAATAACAATTGAGTGTCAGTGTATTGACATTTTAGCAGATCTACGGAATTGTGATTCATGACTACCATCACTTCATCTTGAATTTCATCAGTTAAAGTAAATTTGCTTTCAATTAGTCGTTTTAGTTTTATAAATGATCGAAAAATCAATTTTGGTTACAACGACAGTCATAGGCCACATATCACTCTCCAAATTTGCATATTATATATTAAGTTTTACCCCTCTCATCCTGCAATTTATGCTTTTATGTAAAATCACAGCATTCTGAGATGTACCCAAGAAATGTGATATTACAAGTAATTCATACTGTCTAGACCCGGGCATTTAGTAATTAAATTTTTCATTTGGCTGATGAATAATTCAATTTAATTTTTCAAGGGCAAATAATTCTAAGTAGAGATGGCAGATTTTAGCAGAGATAGAAATTATATTCTTTCCTTAAGAGTTGGTGTTCACAGAAGGAGGGGAAAGACAAAACATGTCTGCATGGGCTAGGATGTCATTGTACCATTGTCAGAATCATTACATAACGGGCTCACACCTTCAACATTTGGTGGGCCTGCCCTAACGACACTTCCTTAGGCTTGTTCACTGGAATCAGAGATGGTGCTAAAGCAACGTCGCAAATCAAGCTGAGGCTGTGGGATGGCATTTGGAGCCCATGTGAAAGATTATCATGTGACGTACAGGATTTTAATGTTTCCCAAATTCCAGTTAGAACGCTAAACCAAAACATGACTAATGACGAGTCATTACTTCACATTCAAAGTACATATGGCAAATAATTCCGTGTGGCTTTGCTAACTGCCTTTTACATTCAACAGACAATTCTTGGCAAAAACAAAAGGACAACTTGTGTGTCATGCACTCGCTTTCTACAACACCGATAAAAACGCAGTCAGTGCTGCCCACCGGGTAGCAATTTGTCATTCCTGTTCCAAACCCTATTGAAAAGCTGTGCAAAGCTTTGTAATCCTGTAACGTGGAGAGGGTGTGCTGGAAACAAAAGGGGCTGGGAAGCTAATCAAAGGACTGAGTCACGCCAGGGCGATCTGGAGACAAAGTTCATACGCACACAGGAGACAGCTCAGGACACGGGTAAGGAAGGAGGTAGGGCTTTTTAACTTTTTATGCAACTAAAAGTCATCGAGCTGTTCCACTAAAACAGAAAAACACAATAATCACCAACTTTATTTATTTATTTATTTATTTTGAGATAGAGTCTCACTTTGTGGCCCAGGCTAGAGTGAGTGCCGTGGCGTTCAGCTTGCTCACAGCAACCTCAAAGACTCCTGGCTCAAGCAATCCTGATTGCCCAGCCTCCTGAGTAGCTGCGACTACAGCATGACCACCGTGCCCGCTATAATAATATATACATACACCAACATATATATATATACACAACATACCACACACATATATTAGTTGCCCAATGTAAACTATATATAAATATTATTGCCCAAAATAGTATAATTAGTTGGCCAATTAATTTCTGTGTCTAATATATAGTAGAGACGGGTCTCGCCCGATTGCTGAGGCTGGTTTCAACTTCTGACCTCAGCAATCGCCCGCCTCGGCCTCCCAGAGTGCTAGGATTACAGGCGTGAGCCACCATGCCTGGCCATCACTAACTTTATGTTTACAAAGCTGTAGCCACTAATGAGAAAAACAGACTTTTAATCCTATCTGGGGCCCACAGGCAATACAGATACTGTTCCTGCTCCATTCAGGCTGTTCTTTTTCCTAAACTGCTTGAGACCCCTACCTCTGGGTCTTTGCAGTCACCACTTCCCACTTCATGAAACCTGAATGGCAGTAACGCTAGTTACTCACACATGCTCCCCTGATACCCAAGACCCGGGCTCCGGCTTTTATCTGATGGAGGTGGCAATCTCAATGCATATATCGTTTGGGAAAAAAATGTAAATCAGGTTCTCTGAAAAGTAATTTGACATTATTCAAGACCTTCCTTCCAGCTCTTCTCAGAATGGGTTATATACAAGAGCAATGCATTACTTGCTCTTTAATATTTGCTTTGTCTTTCACTTATTCATTCCTTTATTCATTCATTCAAGAAACATGGCTGCGTGTGTACTATGCCATAGACCCTGGGCTAAACACTTGGGGGCACAAAAAGAGAATAAACAATTCTGACATCCAAACAGTTCTAGAAGGAAGACTAGTTTGTGACTAATTATAATGTCATTTAAAGGCCTTATGGGATGATCCCTGCACTATGAAACTGGAGGAAGCAGCAGCATTTAAGTGGCTGAATGTGTATTTAGACTAGAGGAGAAGTATACTGTTCAAGAGAGATTTAAAAGGTTCCTATAAGAGATGAGTCATAAAGGATAACCAAGACCTTATCAGGTGAGCAAACTGTAGAAGGTGCGGCAAAAACAGCAGAGCCCATTAGGAGGAGAGACAGGAACTCAAATGGCAGGAGGAAAGGTGAGTTATGATGGGAGTAACTGGAACAGCAAAGAGCAACAGGAGAGAAAAGAAACACAGACAACGTGGCTAATATTCTCCAAGTTCAAGTCTGGTTAAATATAAACACAGACATGTTTTTCTTTGTTGCTTAAAAAAAAAAGGAAAAAAGAAACTTTTGTTTGAAATGTTCCCCTCCTAGGAGGTATTTCTAGAGCAACCTAAGAGCCAGGGAGTTATATGGATAATTAGCTAAATGGGATAAATACTTAACCTCAGAGATTCTTACTCATACACAAGAAGTTAAAACGAAAAGTCAAGTCTGTGGTTAAGAAGGAATGTTCCCCCTGGGCCATACTGGCAAGAATCTTGAGGGTTTTTCTGGTGGTGGTTGTTCCTTTCTTCTTCAATTTACCAGAGCACTTCGTTCCTTGTAACACCAAAAGAAATCAAATGTATAACATGATGCAATTCTATGCTTTTCTTCCTCAATAATTACTCAAATTGTTTTTCTTGGAGAGAAACAGACAACCTAGTAGCTTGGCTGACAGCACCAATTTGCCATCTTGTAAGAGAATAATTTTGAGACTTCAGGTTCCAAGTTCACAGGCATAAAGTAATTGAGACGTGCCCTTAGTCTGTGAATAGATGGTCCTTTGTTAAACTAAACAATCTGTAGCTGATTTGGTGCTTCGGATCTGTGGTTCAGCATTGCTGTATTTTCTCACGTGTCCTGTGATTGTATCATTTTGTTCCTTTGTTCAGTATGGAGTTCTGAATATATCATTAGTTTTTTAGTGTTAATTACCATTATATTTTACTACATGGGGTAAAAAAGAAAAATTAGTAATTTCTTCCTAGCCATAAGAACCTACTTATATAGATAATATATAAAGTTACAGGGAAAAGTGGGGTTTTTTTTTCATACTCTGCTTCACATATATCTTTCATTTTTAAACTTTTTCACATGGTCTCACATTTACATCGCATATTTGTTTTTGTCCTTTTACATCACTGTGCTTCATCTTCTTTAGTCTCTTTGTCCCTCTTTTCACTATTAACACATTAACTGCCATGTGAGTTGTATTTAACTCATGCTAGCTTTGAGCTCAGGGCCTATGCAACTCTTCATCTTGGGAGACTCGAGAACTATTTTTCAAGTTGTATATAATTCATGTCCAGAAAACAATAAATAATAACATTTTTCATTAAGTTAGAAAGGATCGTTTTTTGCTTTTGAAGTTTATATTCTATTTTCATAATAAAACAATGTGGCCCCAAGGAAAAAAAATTTCTTTCTAGTGTGGCAGTCAATGTGTTAAATCACCAGCAGCCTGCGCATACTATTTGCACTCAATACAAACATCTGTTGAATGAATCAATCAAAAACATTTACTTTAGTCACTTACATTCTTGTGGCTTCCAGAATCTTACTTTTAAAAATGTTCTTTTCTGAGAACATCTTACTCATACTCTCAGGTTCTATAATAATACGTGTATTTTGTCATCTTCTCAATTTTGATGAGTCACATTTCCAATTTTGCCTCTTGCTGTTTACTCCCATGGCCAATGTTTCATGATCATGTCTCCTGAACACCTCTACTCAGATCTTCCTGCTAATTCCAGTTTAATAGAGCTCAATTTTTCTCTCAGCCTAGTGACTACTTTTTCCTTCTCTGTTAATCCTTTACAATCAAATCAGCTTAACTTTTCTTATTTCATATTATCTCTAGGAGGTAATTCTTTATTTTATTTTATTTTTTTTACTCTTCACTACTGATCTAGGAGGTAATTCTGAAATCTCGTTTTGTGCATTAACTGCTGTAGCGTGTACAGTTTGTTCAAGAAAGTTCTGTACAATTTGTTTAAAACATTTTCCAAAGTAATCTTTCTTTCTTACTACCTATGACCATACTTCTCCTCTTAAAAATCTCTAAGCTCGTATTTTGAATAAAGGATTTCATAATCTAGGTAATTCGGTAGTTTATGTTCTATTTATGTTCTTTACTTGAACAAAACTGTAAGAATTATCTTCAGATTTACTCAAATAAATCTGAAAAAATTAAAAATGCCTGAATCAGCCATGCAGAATTTTTTATTACCTCAAATCACTTTTTTTTTTTTTTTGAGACAGAGTCTCACTCTGTTAGCCCCGGCTAGAGTGCCATGGCATCAGCCTAGCTCACAGCAACCTCAAACTCCTGGGCTCAGGCAATCCTCCTGCCTCAGCCTCCAAGTAGCTGGGACTACAGGCATATGCCACCTAATTTCTGTTTTTAGTAGAGATGGTGTCTCGCTCTTGCTCAGGCTGGTCTGGAACTCCTGAGCTCAAATGATCCACCCGCCTCCGTCTCTTAGAGTGCTAGGACTATAGGCGTTAAGCCACCATGCCCGGCCCTCAAACTACTTTTAATTGTTTCTGTGCACAAAAGTAGAAAACAACTCTGAGTGAATTTTATTTCTTCCAATATTAAGGTATTCCTTTACCTGCCTTACAGAAAATTCTTACAGAAAACCTTGGTGGAAGAGTACAAGTATGGCAGCTCATTGATTCAAAAACCACCAAGTGCTTTCCTTTTAATACTACAAATTTTTCATGAAAGTTGCTGAGCAAGTCTTTTAACTTAAATATCATTTTTCTCGCTACCCAAGGACCTCAACTGCTCTCCATAAGGCTGCTGTTTTCCTGACCAACTTTAAATTTTGCTTAATTTTATGACTCAATACCATCTGACATCACCCAAGCAATTATTTTACTTTGCAATGAGTCTCAGCCCGCCTTGGATATTTTCACTAACTGGCAATGACGGTATCTGGGCTCAACAAAATCCTCCAATGACTTGTGAAATGTCTGTATATTATAGAACAATCTCTTCTCTCAGTGGCTCAGTGTTACCTGGTATTGGATATGCCTGCTTAACTGCCCGATGAGATATTAGTATAGGTCACCCCTCAGAAAAAATAGGTGTCCCCAACAGTGACTATCCTATAGCTTTATTCTAAGGAAATAATCAAAGGCGTTCTGTTCATAATAGCAAAAATACTGCCAAAAAAGCTGTTGTTCAATAATGCAATTTCTTTTAAACATTATGGGACAATAATAGAATGGAATTCAATTAAACCTTATAAATGGTACTGAGAAAACTATGTGATATGAAAAAGCAAAGGGTTTATTAAATGAAAAAGAGCAGGTAACAAAATTACATATAATATGACCCCATTGTTAGAAAAAGAATAACTATCTTAAAATATATAAATGCTTATAGAATATTGAAGGTTAAGACATCAAAAATTAAGGGTAGTTATATCTGTGTTAGAATCTCAGGTAATGTAATTCTCTCCCTGTGGTTTCTTCTACTTTCACATTTTTCTTTTTTTTTAAATAAGAGTATGTAATACTTTTTAATATTTTTAAATGTTATCAAAATTTATACATTTTAAATGTTAAGTAATTTAGAGATCCTGACAATATTCTCTCTCTCTTTTTTTTTAAAGCACATACCTTCTTTCTCACATCTGATTTGCTCAGGCCCATACATACTATCAGGAGTATCTTCCTTAAATTTAATGTACTGATTTCAAATTGTAATATTTACTCACTTCTCTCCAATGAAGTATGATTTTATTGTAAGCTCCCAGTGAAATAAGGTGACATTTTAAAAAGAAGGAAGCTCTTACCTGGATATCAGTCAATTTGTTCAAGATACGACTTGCAAGCTTAGGACCATTCTCCATAGTTGGAATGTGTATTGGCTATAAAAGAAAGGGAAATGCAATAATTTGAGGATATTCAGGTATATAGTGATAACAGGTAAGACATTAGGCAATTCTACTACATTAAGGCAATTCCACTGAAATAAGGAATAGCTCTATTACCTACTAATTTTGCATGCTAGCTCCTTATCCCACAATTCTTTTCCTATTCTGAATTTGAATAAAATCACACTAGCCAATGATAGGTTGTTCGCTGCATACTAACTAATTTTAGGGCACAACTGGTTTATATTCTAATATGAAAAACCAGGGAAAAGTTAGGGGTACCCAAAATAGTGACTATGTGTAAAGAACCCTACCTCTTCCAAGATTCTTAGACTGTAAGGATAAATGACTGTCCTCTGCATCTAACCCTCTGGCAAGGAATGAGAACTCAAAGATATTATGCCACAAATTAATGCAAGCCATTTTGGAAGCATAAACTAAAGCAAGTCTATGTCTTCACAAAATGGGCTTCTAGCCCCTTCTCTGGTCCACGCTGAACCTCTGGGAACCACAAACTCCACAATATTGGACAGCATGATTAAAATTCATGACTAAAAAAGATTTTATTCCCCTAATCTGTATCTGAATCATGCTTATTCATGACTCGCTGGCTTGCAGGCTTTTGATAGTTTGATTGTAGTGGATAGTCTGTGTTCTCAAACGCTCTTCCTAGTGTAATGGATAATTAGATGTACCTTTCTGCCTCTAAATGCTCTTTAACAGGACCACTTAAAATATGTTAAACTTTATAAACTTAATTTCTAGAGGTAAAATAATAATTGGACTTAAAAAGTGATCTAATGACAACTTCAGTTCATAAAGTGGACCAGTAACATTACCTTGATGCTACCATAATAAAATACTCAACAGTAACTTTATAATCAGTGTAAGTGGTGATATCAAACTGAATAATTCTCCCATGAAACAATCGATCTGTAGATGGAATTACATTAAAAGCCATCCCTTAAAACCTTAACTAATGAAGCTGCCACCATTAAAGTCAAATCAGCTGAGGAAAAAGAACTGTGATCTAAAGTGTAAAAACCAGTAGTATCTATATTTACACTGGACAACACAGGCCTGAACTGCACTGGTCCACTTATACATGGATTTTCTTCCACCTCTGAAAACCCTACAATGCAAAACCAACCCCTCCTCCTCTTCTTCAGGCTGCTCAACACGAAGAACAATGAGGATGAAGACCTTTATGATGATCTACTTCTGCTTAACTAATAGTAAATACATTTTCTCTTCTCTATGATTTTCTGAATAGCTTACCTTATAGTATAGAATACATATAACATACAAAATACATGTTGACTGTTTATGTTATTGATAAGGCTTCTGGCCAATGGTAGGCTGTGAGTAGTTAAAATTTAAAGGAGTCAAAAGTTATATGTGGATTTTTCCACTGCATGGGAAGTTGGTATCAGGGATCAACCATAGTATGAGTAATTTAAGCCAATTCATGTTATAATGCCCACATGCCTCTAAGTTATAAAGTTAGATGCTGATGTTAATCATAAGTATTGGGGCTTTGTTATAAAGAGGAAAGAAAAAAAAAACTGACAAGAAAATGGAAGTATGGCTCATATAAAATCAGACTCAATTACCAAGAAGAGAGCATTTCTTCCAACTAAATCCTTGAATTTCTTTTGTAAGATTTTAGGAAATGCACTAGGTTTGCCAAATGAAAAATTTTTATGGAGTGGTCTACTAATTAATAATAAAAAACAGTAATAGTAATAAATGAAGGCACTGACCATTCAAATGCATTTTCCATAACTACCTGCCATTTCTAATCCAGTAGCTTAGAAGTACTTTTGGAAACCAGAAACCAAAATCCAACTCCCTGTAGAGCCTTCCTTGGTGAGCTGGTAGCTAGAAAGTGATCAGAGTGGAAGTCTATGGACAGCTCCAATGCCCACCCTGAGTCAAGGCAGATGTGATACCCAACCAAGGACACCACCGACGTCCCACCTTGTGTGAGCTTACACGAAGTCACTGTAAAGATGGCGGTGACATGAGAATACAGGTTCATCTGGACAAACTATCCTAGTTAATATAACGCCAAATTGCAAAAACAAAAACAGAAAACCCTTTCATCCTAGGTCCAACTGGAGCTTCATTTGCACATTTGAAAAACTTACATGAAATTATAGGCGAACGTTTGGAAATGACAAGAAGTGAAGAAATGCTTGTCTTACCTCACCCTTGTACAGTATATCAGAAACGGGGCAGACAACACAGGCTGTACCCGAGCCAAACATCTCCCTCACTCTGTTTTCCTCCAGGGCGGTAGTCAAGTGATCCATGGTGAGGTATCTCTCAGACACCTTAAATTCACCCTGATTGGAATATAAAAAATAAAAAACAAATGTATTTTAAAGGGAAACGCACGCAAAACAACTGTTAATACTTATTTTTCTACTTTATAGGCCAGGTGTGATGGCTCACACCTAAAACACTAGCACTCTGGGAGGCCGAGGTGGGAAGATCGCTTGAGGACAGGATTTCGAGACCAGTCTGAGCAAGAGCGAGACCCCGTCTCTACTAAAAATACAAAAAAAACCTAGCCAGTCAACTAAAAATAGAAACAAAAAACCAGCAGGGCGAGGTGGCGCATGCCTGTAGTCCCAGCTACTTGGGAGGCTGAGGCAGGAGGATTGCTTGAGCCCAGGATTTGAGGTTGCTGTGAGCTAGGCTGACGCCATAGCGCTCACTCTAGCCTGGGCAACAGAGTGAGACTGTCTCAAAAAATAAATACATACTTTATATTCGATCAAACTCAGATAATGTCACAATCATCCTCTGAGGGAAAGCTAGAAATGGGACATGATTTTACTGGGTGAACACACTGAGGTATGAAACAACCCACTTCAAGGTCACAGCCTTTATAAATGTGATTATCAGAACATGAAATCATCACCACAAGATACCTGGTGTATTTTCATATATGCCTGCTTTTTTTTTTTGCCTTTTATTTGTTGTCACGAATAAAGTCTCACAAACTGAAGCATCCCAAATGCTATCTGATACATGCTCCACATTTATAATGTCTTAAACCCTATTTCACCATAAAGAGGAATCTTACATTGCATTAAATAATAGTTATAGCTACTGTTTATCAAGCACCCATTATTATGCCAAGTTCTGTAATTCCAAAAGTAGGTATTATCATCCCCACTTTACAGATGAGGAAACTAAGGTGCAAGATGAGGGGCATCCCCAAGGCCACATAGCTAGTAAATGGCAGAAACTGGATTTGAACCCAGGTTGATATGAGTGGCTCCAAATTTGGTCCTCTTTCTACTGTGTCTTTGATGGAATAAAAGATATAGATTGAGTTCAAATATCTGAAATATTCACTATCTTTAAAAAGATAATGCACATTTAGACTTTATTTGAGAAATTCCATTATATATATTTTTGTCTCCCTAAATTCACTGCTGGTTGACTTTACCATGATGATTCTCTTCCTTCTTTTTTAGCATCACATTAGGTTGAGTTTCACCAGGGAATTAGTGGTATAACCTCATTTACTTCTGCTGAATTGTCTGAGTAATCTTCTTTGCTCAAGGATAGGAAATGGAAAAAACTCCCATGCTTTTAAGCTATCTGTTTCATACTCATTCTTTAATTTGTTTAATTCTCATTTTTTTTACTTTAGTCATTAAAGTTCAAAGTTTGTCAAAGTGTAGTTATTTGAATTAAAAGCAACAAACAATAGATGAGTTTTTTTTTTAAAAAAATACGTTGAGAGTATTTTTTTAATCTACAAACCCACAATAGATAAAGATGAAAATCAAAGCCCTTGACAATCTTCAAAATATTAGCAGAAGACTGCATCATGCTATAAATAGACTTAGAAGGATAAGGAAATATGTCTGCAATAGAAATATAGCTCTTTGCAAGTTTCAATTTCTGTTAGTCTGCAATTGCAATTATGTTGTTCAAAGGTAAATAAATAAATTCCAGAAAACCAGCCCAGTTAATTGAAAACAAGCTGAGTTCTCCCTCTTAGAAAAGGAAAAATAACAAAAAAACAAAAAAAGGCCCCACACCTCTCTTGTAAATAAACAGAATTGTTTTTACTGTGTTCACCCTTACTTATCTTTGGACAATTTCCCCTGCCTGGCAAGTAATGGTAACCCCCCACATGGCTCTTGGCATTTTATGTCTCGTGTTTTAAAATAGCTTTTAAAATAAATTACAGCTAAGGAGTCAAGAAAAAACTTCCTTCAATAATAACCTATTTTTCACGCGAGCAAATCATTAGTGTGGGAAAGCATGTCCACTTGCGACCTGTCATCAAACCTTCTGTACTTGGTTGATTTTTCTTCTCTAATAAAACAAAAATTACTGAGCTTCAAAAGTGTATCTTTCCAACTGCAAACATATTTAGGACAGGGCAAGCTGTTTGAAATTGTACCAACAGTTTGTAAATGTCATGCCCAACGTGCCAGCCAGCATGTGGCAGTTGGGTTTTGTCTACTTCAGGGTTTTGTGGAATTATTTATAGCACATTGCCTCTATTTTCAAAACCTTTTCCAGAGAAACTGTGCTAATACTCTTCTGGATGATATGTGTGTTTCTAAACATTTGTCCTATTAGTGCTGTTTGACCACAGTATGCTCAAAACCTTTTCATGTTCTTTGGAGACCATTTTAACACATGGGTCAAAAGTTCCATCCAAGAACCCTTGCCAGACAACCGACTCATTCAATATTCGTCTTGAATAGGCTATGTTATTTCCAATACCAATTAGTTTAATAGGCTTGCCTGTATCACATGGGTTTGAAAGTCTACTGAAAACAACTTTACATTGGCTTGCGTGTTCTGATTTTAAAGCAAGCATGTATATGAATTTCAGAGGACAGGGGGCAGGGATGGAGGGAGAAAGAAGGCAGCCAAGCCAATAATATTATGTTAGTAAACATTTATATGTCAGTGAAATTCTCTAATTTCTATGGCAAGCATGGTTACATTGGAATAAATAGAGAAAAGGAAGAGGTACACATCACTGCCATTTGGAAACGATACAAGTAGACTTGAAAAGGTTAAGGACTGGCTGGACAGAAGCAAAGTATGAACTAGGTAAGTTGGTAGGAGATACCTGGTAGATGGAGACTAGTATTAGAATACTTCTCCCTTACGACATCTTGCTAAACTGGTTTCTTTCTGCACTCCCTATAAACAATACTTATTTGATAGCCTTGCCAAGACAGTCCTTCTAGAACTTGGACTTAAAGATTAGATAACATTGGCTGGAACCACAGGATATTATTTCAACGCTAGGCTGGGCTTATTTTGATTACTTTTTGTTTCAGGCTTATAAAAGTTGCTCGTGTCAAGAGTACCCACCCACTTGCGTGCCAGGTCCAGAACGCACTGCCTTGTCACTCCTGGAAGAATGATGCCATCTAGCGGAGGAGTTGCCAGTTCTTCTTCTGTCAATTAGAAATTGGAATATTTTCAGACTTTAACTATATTGAGCATGCCTTATAGCAACAGTCTTTTAAAAAACCATTTCTCACAACTTTGCTAGTAATAAACATAATGTTACCATTCTACACTGTCGAATTTCCCAAATCCATTCATGCTTCAGGTAGATGCTTACTTTAAAAAACAAGAACAACGCCAGGTGCGGTGGCTCACGCCTGTAATCCTAGAACTCTGGGAGGCCCAGGCAGGAGGATTGCTTGAGCTCAGAAGTTCGAGATCAGCCTGAGCAAGAGCAAGACCCCATCTCTACTATAAATAGAAAGAAATTAATTGGCCAACTAATATATATAGAAAAAAATTAGCCGGGCATAGTGGCACATGCCCATGGTGGCACATGCCCAGCTACTTGGGAGGCTGAGGCAGGAGGATTGCTTGAGCCCAGGAGTTTGAGGTTGCTGTGAGCTAGGCTGATGCCACAGCACTCACTCTAGCCTGGGCAACAAAGTGAGACTTTGTCTCAAAAATAAAAATAAAAATAAACAAGAACAAAAAAGAAAGCTACTCATCTAATCATCTTCAGTTTACCTTTAACCAGTAAAATAATGAGAGGGTTTTTCACTAACAAACAGTAACAGTCATAGAATACTCTTAAGAGAAACATTCTGAAATGAAAACTTGCCTTAGCAGATAAAAAGCTGTTAGTGATTAAAATAGCATAGACAGGATCTTACTCAGGAACATGGGTCATCATCAAAACTTCTAAGAACACTATGGAGGAGCCCATCCCCCAAGAAGCGTGTGTGACTACTACTTGGGCTGGTCGCTGCTTCCGTGCGGCCCTTTAGTGATTTGCAAACCTGGTAGAGTATCAGCACCAAGTACGGAGATGCTGACTTCATCCTCTGACACTCAAATGTAATGGGCTCAGGGTAAACTCAAGCATGCATACAGCTAAAAAAGAAATCTAAAAAACAAAAGTGCAAGGCTGAAGTAGTGGTCTACTGTCAGATGACCGCAGGCACCCCTAACCACGAGGAGGGCTGGCGTGACGGTCTGTCTATAGTCGCCATGTGTGGTCCGCCAACTGCACAAGCTCTCCTTACAGAACTCGCTGGTCCTTTTCCTGCCCACCTCTGGCAGCCAGGAGTCTGAATCTGGTGAGTCCTTTCGCTGAGGCCACCACCCCTTCTCTCAGTACACAGTGGCTCTATACTTACCCACCTCACTGTGGTCATATTAGATGTGCCTGACAACCACGCTCTGTCTGGAAGACCAAAGCTCCACATTCCTCCCTGTATCCCCAAAACTCAGCATCATGCCTGCCCCAGAGTGGTTTGTAATAAATATTTTTGAATAAAAAAATAAATGAATGAATCCTCTTTGCTAGGATACAGCAGCATGGCTTTTTTGGAATTCTGTTTCTGAAAATCATCTGCTGAATACGGCTTCCTGGAAAGAAGAAAATTTGTGCTTGGCAATGTTCTTGGGGCTACTTTTTGTCATGGTTAGAAGTGTGGATGATCTCAGAATAAACATGTGTTTTGCAATAGCTAACTAGATACATAAATGTATGGATCTAGTTGTGTATGTGTGTGTGTGTGCGTGTGTGCATATACACACACAAACATATAATTCCAGTGCCCTAAAACCGGACCTATCCTAAGGCTTACTGTGCTCTAAGACCACATAAAGTTAAATGAAAACAGCAGCCCTGCATGTGCAAATGCTGTTTTGTGAAATATATTTAACACCCAGAACTGTAACCACTAGCCCGAGGTCAAGGAACAGAACATCTGCTTCTCTGGTTGCCAGACAGAGATGATGACATGACAACATTTGGGTGAGAAATATTCATTTTTCCTCTGCAACCACAAACATGCTTGCAAGAGCCAGAACTAACTCCAGATTGCCCAACACGAGGAAAACAGACCCTACAAATGCAGCTTGTTTTTGACAGAGAAAACATTTTTAGGAGATGAGGAATTTAGAAGCAATAACAGCAGGATTCATCTGTGACTTCCCAAAGTCAAGCACTAATGGAAACCAGGAATGTAGGTTTGCATAAGCGCCCTCCACACCATCAGCACAATCACTCATTTATTCAAGAAAATACATATCAAGGGCTGTTTACTGTTTTAAGCTCCATAAATATAGCAGTGAATGAAACTGATATGACTCCCTGCTTACTTTCTAATAGGCAGAGGCAAACAATGACTGTGTTAAATAAATAGTAAGATACACTAAGGAGAAGAAAAAAAGAAAAAAAAAGGAAGGGTGGGCAATGCTGGGGAGGAAAGGGGGAGGGAGTTTAAGATTTGACTAAGGGCTCAAGGAGAGCCATACTGAGAATGGGACTTGTGAGCAAACACTTGGAGAAAGTGGAAGAGCAAAGCGAGCTCCAAGTGGAGTTGGTATAAATGCCTAGTATGTCCAAGAAGGCTCGAGGGGCTGGGTGGACTGAACAACACCGACATTCATTGCCACGGTCATTCTCCCAAACTGACTGTGAACGCAACTGCAGGACTTGGTCCTATTTTCTGAGACTATCTCCAGTGCCCAGGACACGATACGATTCTTTGTTCAAACAGTGAATAGCTAGCCGGGCGTGGTGGCTCATGCCTGTAATCCTAGCACTCTGGGAGGCCGAGGCGGGCGGATTGCTCAAGGTCAGGAGTTCGAAACCAGCTTGAGCAAGAGCGAGACCTCGTCTCTACTAAAAATAGAAAGAAATTAATTGGCCAGCTAATAGATATATAGAAAAAATTGGCCGGGCATGGTGGCGCATGCCTGTAGTCCCAGCTACTCGGGAGGCTGAGGCAGTAGGATGGCTTGAGCCCAGGAGTTTGAGGTTGCTGTGAGCTAGGCTGACGCCACGGCACTCACTCTAGCCTCGGCAACAAAGCAAGACTCTGTCTCAAAAAAAAAAACACACAGTGAATAGCAAGTCTATGTATTAAATGACTCATCAACAGAGTGAAAAAGGGAATGGACCACCCTGAGTGTCTTACTAGAATCAAAATTCACGTAAGTTACAGGCCAAGTGTTGCACATAGTGACTATGCATGGCATTGCACTTTGAACACACACTACCTACTGCTTTATCTACCTGCCTGCACCGGCCACCTGCCCAACAGGAGCAATGTGAGTGGATGCCCATGGAAAGATGGCAGGTGGTTACTGAAAGAACTCTGCTTATGCCTCCTATCAGTAAAGTTTGTGAAAAATAAATATTTTGCTGATTTCCAACTTACGACTCTTTGTGTTTTCCTAAAGCCACATGATATGAATCAAAATTACTACACAGTTGCTTCAAGGTCTTTTTTTTAGCATAAAGGTTAGCCCTCATGTCCTGTTATTTCTCTTATAACATTATTCAAACATTTAACCATTTCCTTTCTCCTTATTTCAAAATGTATTTGATCTGTTAGGTGAACAGTCCCCCAAATTGAAGGAGCACATTAAAACTAAAGTTATCTTGGGCAATCATAATCTGAACAGTAACTCTTAAGGTCTTGCATATTTTGCAAAAGGCAGAGAAGACAAATTCATTCATTTCTGTTTTGACCTTTAAAAGCTGTGGTGGAAATGTTCCGTGATTATTGTCTCGATGGGGGACAAATTTTCACCAGGACAGTTTCTGGTGTTTCTAGTTAAATCACGTAGCTCTGATTCAGACTGTGCTTAAAAACTGTCGTCTCCCATCCATAAAAATAATGATGGTACTACTTCTGTATGATGTAATTGTTTTTGTTTGGGGTTGTGTGGGGTTTTTGGCAGAAGTGTGGGGGTGGGGGTAGGAGTGGGCAGGGGGGGAAAGAAGAGTTTAACCAATCTATTATCTTCTAAGTGCAAAGTTCAACATCAGCTATCATCTGCCTGGCATGGATTTTATTATATGTCATACATAATAACCCAAATTTAGAAATCACGAATATTCCAGTATAAATTTTGTTTTCAAACAGTGCTAAGTACAAACAGCAGGAATGGAAGAATGAGCATGATCTATATTTGGCTTTTCATACACCAAGGATTACCAATGGCCAAAGTCAGGACAAGGTGTACTCACCACACCTTCTGTTTACTCTACCCAGAATTTAAGGCTTGTCTTGTTTGTCTCTGCAACTAATACTAAAATTAGTACATAGCTCTGAATTCAGCCACATCTGAATCACCATTTTCCTCTTTTTGTAGCCAAATAACATAAGAACAACAGAGGCTACCATGGCTGCTTTAAAATGAAATTTTCACTTAAAAAAATTCAATTGAAACTAAATACCGAGACTTCCCAAGTATTTGAAAACATTATTGTATATTTCTAGTCTCTATGCTCAGTACTCTAAAAAGAAGAACCTAAGAGCATAAACAAGGCTAAAAGTACATTTCTAAATTTGGCATGATTATCAAAATTCTAATGGAAAATAATAATACATATCTGTTTTCCCCCCACTACTGGCCATTTAATTCAATAACATGCACATTTTCAACACTTCACTGCATCTGCCAACTAATAAACACAAGAATAGCAAAGAAAAGTAATGAGAATTCAGGATATTAGAGGTAGAAGAGAAGTACTGATTTCTATAGTGGACATATAGTAATAGTCTCAAATGAATCAGGATCTAGGTACAATCCCAAGATACAATCATTTCTTCAAAATGGTGTTCTTTGTAATAAAATTGAGTTCCAGAGTCAATCTGGAGGGCTTCTGATATGTGTATCAAAATATAGAGAAAGGGTAACAATTGCTAAAGAATTATAGCAAGAAAGTGCTCTAAATTCCTTACAGAATCAGTAGACTGCATTTATTATGATAGAATTTTATACACAGTATACGGTGAATGAGCATTTACTGGATCTGAGGCCTATCTCCCAGTGCAAGGTGTTCAGACAAGAAAAATGTTAGGGAACTGCTAAAGGGATAAGGCAGCGAATCTTCCAATTGTGATGACTTAAATCCCTTAATTTGATATCTCCATAATCAGTACATCTAGAGCCCAAAACCAAAAACAACAAGCAAGACAAAACCCTTCAACAAGCAAGCTGAAACTCACATCTACTTAACCAGAGCACAGCAGTCCTCAGCCTTCAGAACTGAGCTACCTACTCCTCCCTTGTTCTAAGTCTCCAGTTCTTATCTTTCCTGTCCCACTGGAAAGGCTCGAGAAACAGCACAGAGCTGAAATCTGAGTGATTACCTCCATCTTCATTTATCCAGTAAAGAAAAAGATTCATAGTCCCGACTTCGGTTAGCTGATTATCCTCTCCATAGAGCCACAGAACCTGCTGGCAGCCGTTGTCCATGGCTTCACATTGGGCAAAAAGCGATGAGCCGTAATTCCTTTTAAGAAAGAGGAAACACTCTGATTAGGAACATACTTCATCCCCACGCTTCACCTTCCACACTCTCACAGCCTAAAGCCTACCTGGAGATGTAGCCAACCTACCGTGCTCTTAAGATACACACATTCTCTCATTAACTGCATGACAGTAAAGGAAAATTCCTTAGAGAACCTAAATAATCTAACTGTATTCATCTGAGAGAGAACAAAGGGAAACCTTGCAATCCTAACTGGAAAAGTACTGATAGGAGAACACAGGTGAACAGCCAAGTTTAGTGAGAATAGTTAAAAGTTATTGAATATTTTTCCACACACCAAGCAATTTTACACGAATTATTTCATTTAAACCTCACACCAATACTAGGAGGTAGGCACTATCATTATTCCCATTGTCCACAGGAGAAACTGAGGCCTAGAGAAGTAACTGCTATCAAGTCACAGCAATTTAACACATTGACTGCCACACACACACACACACAAAAAAAATCAGAAATTTTCCTTGGTGTCACTGTTTAAATTACAAAAATAGAATTAAAAAAAAACTTCAAGTGTAATTCAAAGATAAACATAAATAGAAAAACAAAATTTACTGACTTCTATTCATTTAATCCACCTTTTTAAAATTGTTAATACTGATTGTAACAATAGGAACATCAACGAGATTTGATATATGCTTCACACAGCCCTGGGCTCAAAATGGCAGTGAGTTAAATACAACTCTCATGGCAGTTAACGTGTTAAGTAGAAGAGCACCACATCTGTGCTCCCTTACCTAAGGCCTTCTGTTACAACATATCCAAGGAGCATCTAATGCCCAATGCTTAAATTTCCCCCCCAAAGTAGGATAAATATTAAAATTCCTGATTTTCACCCAAAAAAGTATGTCCAAATTTCGTCTTTCTCTGCCTGTGCTATTCATCCCAGGTTATTTACAATGAAAAGGACACAGCGCATCTTCTTGGACTGACAATTTAGCTTAGTAGTATTTTTAATTTATTATCTTTCAGGCTTATATGGGATAATTATGGAGTATATTATCACTATCAAAAAAGCATAGTGAATTCTTACAATATGAATGCCTAGCCTTTCAAAGAAGCTTCTAAACACACACACACACACACACACACACACTTTTGAGAGTGTGCCTGAGTTGAAACCATGGCTCTTCAGGGTCAATGACACACCTGGGCAGGGAAAGAGAATTAAAGACCTCAACTCTTTCAATGCATTGAAAAGAAAGGGGCTTTTTATGTTACATGTTTAATTGATTGATTGATATATCATCATATACTATAGATGGTCTTTATTCTTCCAAACAAATTTTCTCACAGTTGTAAACTGTATTACTAAGTCCACAGGATAATTGATAGCATGGGCAATGGCTGGGTCCCCTCCCATGTGCAGCCAATATTCAGAAGAAAAACACATGTTCTTGGAGGAAAGAAAGAAAATGAAAAAGTGGGAAAACTGCCTACACAGAAAAATTTCAATATAGTTGTTTTTTTTTTTTTTTTTTGAGACAGAGTCTCGCTTTGTTGCCCAGGCTAGAGTGAGTGCCGTGGCGTCAGCCTAGCTCACAGCAACCTCCAACTCCTGGGCTCAAGCAATCCTCCTGCCTCAGCCTCCCAAGTAGCTGGGACTACAGGCATGCGCCACCATGCCTGGCTGATTTTTTTCTATATATATTAGTTGGCCAATTAATTACTTTCTATTTATAGTAGAGATGGGGGTTTCACTCTTGCTCAGGCTGGTTTCGAACTCCTGACCTTGAGCAATCTGCCCACCTCGGCCTCCCAGAGTGCTAGGATTACAGGCGTGAGCCACTACACCCGGCCTCAATATAGTTTTGAATAGAATAAACAGCTGGAAGAACAGAGATATTAAATACTTCCCTCCAAAAGAGTAAATTCTATTATGTAAAATCCAAATTTCTTCTAAGATAAAGAGAGTCCAGGAGATAAGAAAGTGAAAAACCCTCATAATATCAACTACTGTTTAAGAGGTTACTACAGGTAGCGAATCCCTAATCTGAAAATGGAAATCCAAAATGCTTCAAAATCTGAAACTTTTTGAATGCCAATGTGCCGCCAAAAGTCACTGGAGCATTGCAGAGTTTGGATTTTCAGGTTAGAGATGCTGGAAATATTCCCCAAAATATCCAAAATCCAAAACACTTCTGGTCCCAAGCATTTCACATACGGGATATTTAACTTGCACCTGCCAGGAAGCTCTTAACCACATTATTATTTCATTGAATCATCTTAAAATAACCCTGGACTTTACTTTTGAGGACTTGGAGGAAGAGACGATGCAATTGTATATAATCACACAGATAATAAATGTGACTCCCAGATATCTCTGACTCCTAAGCTCAAGCTTTTAACCACTAGGTTATAATAGTGCATTTGCTGAGAGCTTTGTATAGGCTAAACACTGTCCTAAACACTTTATATCACCTCAACCCACAGAAGTAGGTATTATTGCCTTGATTTTATAAATGGGGAAACTGATACTTAGAGCAGTTAAGTAACATGCCCAAGGTAATTAGGTTGGTTTGTTTGAGTTTTTTTTTTTTTTTTTTAGCCAAATTTAGCAGTGGGAGGGTTGAATACCAACTTTTAAGTGACACTAATGTTAATAAGTTCTGATAACCCACTACCATCGGGCCAGCCTATTTGTTTCATTTAAAGATTTTAGTATTTTATAGGGCAGTTTTAAGGTTCACAGCAAAATTGAGAGGAGGGTACGAGAGATTTTCCCATACACCCCTGACTCCAACAAATGCGCAGCCTCCGCGATTACCACTGCCCCACACCAGAGTGCTCCATCTGCTACAACTGATGAACCTACTCGGATACTTCATATAGTTTACAACAGGGTTCGCTCCTGCTATTGTACATTGCATGAGTTGAGACAAGTGTATAATGACATGCATCCACCACTGTGGCGGTGAGGTTTTAAAGTCGGGTCTTTCTGACTTTAAATCCCGCACTCTTGGCCGGGCACGGTGGCTCACGCCTGTAATCCTAGCACTCTGGGAAGCCGAGGCGGGCGGATTGCTCGAGGTCAGGAGCTCGAAACCAGCCTGAGCAAGATCGAGACTAAAAATAGAAAGAAATTAATTGGCCAACTAAAAATATATAGGAAAAAATTTAGCCAGGCATGGTGGCGCATGCCTGTAGCCCCAGCTACTCGGGAGGCTGAGGCAGGAGGATTCCTTGAGCCCAGGAGTTTGAGGTTGCTGTGAGCTAGGCTGACACCATGGCACTCTAGCCCGGGCAACAAAGTGAGACTCTGTCTAAAAGAGTCTCAAAAAGGAGAAAAAAAATAATAATAATAAAGCCTGCACTCTTACAGCATGAGAGTATAAGGAAAAAAGAAAAAAACAGAGAAAGATAATTGTGTGTGTGTGTGTGTGTGTGTGTGTGTGTGTGAGAGAGAGAGAGAACATGTGTGAGCACCTGATTCATCCCAAATTAAGTAAGAACTTTCCTGGGACTACAGACGTCCCTGTGATGAAAAGAGACCTTCCTCTAACTCAGTGCTTCTCCAGTTTCATTTCATGGTAAAAGATCCTGATACTCAGTCTATGGCCCAGACCAAATTAACCAGAGTATCTGGAGGTGGGAACCAGGCATCAGGGTTTGGCGATGCTCCCAGGTGATCTTGGTTTGTAACCAAAGTGAGGCCCATCGTGCTAGAACTCTCCTTCAGCTGTGCACAATTGTATGGCTTATCTCACATATATTTAGAAATAAGACAATAATGCTATCTTCACTGGCTTGAAAATAGTAGAATAATCTTAGAATTTTTTCTTAAAGCTTCTCTCCCTCAGATTCATTAAGAGAGCAGAAAGTTCTTGAGCTTATGCGTTATGAGAATCAAGCTATTTACTAACGCCAATTGGCTACAAGGGTCCTAAAAATGGATCAAAGGATAATCGTTGACTGAATTAAGTTTAGAGAAGACATAATAATACGCAATTCTAACGTCCAAACGTGTTTGCCACCTAAATAGGATGATGCTAAATGCAGAATCATTGGTTCTCCTTGTACTTCTCCAGGTTGGAAGCATAGGAGTAGAGAAAGCTTTAGAACTTCTTGGAAACAATAGGCATATAGGTTAAAAGTTCACCCTTTTGGTTCTGCCTTTCCTCTTGCAATCTTTATTTCAATTTAGGAACTCCAATATGCTCTTCCCAAGTTTCTTCCTATCCTAAGAGGCCTAATGAGTCAAAGAATTAACTTTTCTATAATGATTCTCTTTTTTTAAAGCACTTTTAGATTCACAGAAAAATTGAGCAAAAAATGCAGAGAATTCCCATATTATATCCCTTCTTGATTCCCCTCCCAGTTTCTCCTATTATCATTATCTTGCATTACTGTGGCACACGTGTCTATAGTTTTAGGGTTCAATCTGTGTTGTACCGAAAGCATTAATTTTTAATTCGACTACAGTGATCACGTAGTCTGTGATACTGCATCATATCATCCTTTACACAATAAATAACAAGTTGCCCAAATAGCAGTTAATAAGGATTTCCCTGCAATTTCTGTGTCCCCATGTTATCTTTTCCCTAGACAGGTAGGGGGAGCTAGAGAGCAAGATTTAAAAAGAGGAAACGTTTTCCTTATCAAGATTGTTAACTTACTGTAATGTGCACCCTAAGAGAAGCTTTAACAAAGTAGTATATATGGTATTCAGTGGTGCATATGCTCAGTGAAGAAGTCTGAACAAGTAAAAAAAAAAAAAAGAAAGCAAGAGATTAAACAAAAGGAGTTTTCAACCTGGCTAGCCCAGGATAAAGGAAGGAATGCTCTAAGCCAGGAGGAAAATAGACTTCCTAAATTAATGGATCCCATTAGGATTTCTCTACTCATTGAGAAAATGCAGGTGATAAAGTTGCCCACAGGGATGAATTTTATAATTTTTTTTTTTTTTTTTTAATGAGAGATGGGAGTTGCTACATTTCTCAGGCTAGACTAAACTCCTGGGCTAAAGGGATCCTCCTGCCCCAGCCTCCGGAGTGGCTGGGATTATACTCACATGCCACTGCGCCTGGCTACCATTCTTTATTTCTTTTGGGAGGTTGGGGGGAGGAAATATAGGATTGCCATATAAGGGTCAAAGCCAGCTGTCACTGTCTCTTTACTATCCCAGCAGCATGCCCTTCGATTCCCCCCACTTCTTGAATCTACGTGTTGCACCAGGGCCCACAAGGTTGTCACGGAGCCACTGCCCAGAACTGCGGCTGCCCCGGGTCTATGATGCACAGCGCCACTTGATGCAGACAAAGGAAGAACCCACGCTGCTTAATCCAGTTATTCTTGTTCACCCACAGGGCATTCCCAATTCATGGCCAAGTCCACCCCTGAAATTGTCCAACACTTTTCAAATGCTCTTTTATTTCCTGCCAGCTACATATGGCCTATGAGACCAGCCTGACAGAGCGAAAGCAGGGCTGTCCCTCGGCCAGTTGGCAGCAGGTGTGGCTACAATCTGTGGCAATGAAGACAGCACTTCAATGAAGCGGGCACCTTCCCCAGACAGGACTCCCTGGAGCCAACCGAGAGCCTGGGTCCCAGGACCAGATGCTCTTTAATGCCAACCACCAGCCTGCAGCCAGAGGACCAGTGCCCAGGGGCAGTTCATTTGAAAGCACTGATTTGATTCCTATTCGAGTTGCTTACTTTGGTTGTTGTCTATGTATTGCATCTAATATTTCTCCCTTATGCAGGACCGCAGGCTATCCTTTAAACAACTAACACATTTAAAAGTGACAACTAAACAGGAAACAAAATAAGCATTAAAGTGGGAATATTATTTATTTGTATGGAAGCAAAATGGCAGTAACAATGGTCGTGAAGGGCTCTTTCCTTTAGACAGAGATACAGATTTACTTACCCTCCCACCTTGCAGTCTCCAGTTCCACCTTTCCAGGCTCTTACATACTTCGGATTGGCCCACAGGGACACCGGATTAAAGGTTCCACTTGAAAAATAAGGTCCCACTGGGCTCAGGATTACAAAGAGCAGGGCTTTGCTAGGCTTCTTGACTCCAAGAGAAGGCTGCAATCAAGTAGAAGCACACGACTGTAACTTCAAACACAGGCACCAAGCCCAAAGTCCCGAGTAGATCCGACTAATGACAGGAGCTATTACTTCTAAAGTCGAGTTACACAAAGCCTGATGTGTTCTAAGAAGAAAATACTGAGAACGGAGTCCTTAATTTTCATTTTGCTTTGCCTTCTATGATTTTAGAGGAAAAGCAAATTTGTCAATTTCTTTGTGTCAGTAGGATTTTGGAAGAGAAACATGGTTTTAACAACTAGCTATGTAACAACTTTCAAGGTTGCATGGACTGGGAATTGAAAACCCAGAAGTGGTTTTAGTCTTGGGGGTAAAATATATTTATTTGCTTCAATAACGTGCCCTTCTTTTTCACAGCCCAGTGACTGCTTCGGGACATGGCAGGGCCTCCAGCAGGTGGGGGTGCTGGGTAGTGTGCTATTACCACACCTGCCCACAGCAGGTAGCAAGAGTGTCGCTCCACTAGAAGGAAAGAAACCAGACAGGATAAATGCCATCAAATGGGCAGGGGACAAATGACTCAGAAACAGCAAAGCCAGAAGGCAGGCTTTCCCACAAACACTGGAAAGTAAGAAACCAACAATATAAAACCATACAAATTCCTGTAGCACAAAAGCAAGTTATAAGGAATTAGGGGCCACTGTTTATTAAAGGAAGAAAATCGAGAGACTCAAAGGTTTGAGGGTATTATAAAGGAAAAAAGGGTCACGAGGTTATCCTCTGCAATTCAAGACCTCAGGAAGTAACAAGGCAGGACTATTAGGTTAAGAGTCTTGGAATATAAACCACTCGTGTCTAAATCCCAAAACTGCAGCCTAGTCTGCCTGGATGGGGTGGGGTCTGTCGTGCAAAGAATGAGAGTAAAAGAAGAGAAGACTCAATTCCAGCTGATTTTATGGCTTTGTAATGTTTCTTAAAACAGACTGAAAGTGCACTTTGGGATATTTTTAGCTGAACTTCAATGTTACCTCCCCTCCACCAAGTTCCCTCGCCCACTGCTCAACACTCAGATAATCAAAAATCAGGTAGTAAAATATTCATGGACATTAAAAAAAAGTTTTTGCACATGTGCACA